TAAGACTTTCCAACCTTGCTCTCAGTAATTTGGATCAGTTTTACCCTACTCGGTGTCTTCTGTTCTTGAAGGTGACTCCAATAATTCTCATCCCGCACAGATGAGAATTTAAAAAATAAAAAAAAAAGAAAGAAAAAAGGCTTCTAATGTACATCAAAATACATTTTGTGTATTAAAAAATAAAAAAAAAAAGAAAAAAAAGGCTTCTAATCTACATCAAAATACATTTTGTGTACTCTTCAGTTTATGCCCTACAGGAATCAAACACAAACTGCTTTTGATTGAGGGGACTGAGCTTTTCTGTCTAATAACCATGAACAGAGAAACCTTCTTAGCCAGACAGTCCCAGGAACGCAGAAGGTAATTTAGTAGTGCTGAAGAAGGACCTAAATTAAAGCCCATCAGCATCAGCCTGAGTTTTTACATTTACTAGAAGCTTTAGAGAAGGTCTTCTGTCTCCCCTGGAATGTTACACTAAGCCTGCATAGTCCTGATGCCAGAGAGAGAACATGAAGGCAGAGCAAGGAAACACCTATGGCATGTAGCAAGGAAAAGGAGGAGGATAAAAATCCACTAAATTATTAGCAGTATGAAGAGAAATCCACCTCATTCCTGTTCAACAGCAATTCCCACAACAGACTGTACACCTTAAGGTGGTGGAAACCTAACCTGTCCTTAACATCTCTTTCCTTCTCTAGATTCCCTCAGTTAAAAAACAAAGTTCCATGAGTGATTAAAGCCATGAGACTCAAGTCCACACCAAAGCAAGCACTCTGACCCAACTGGAGAGTAGATGAACTGAGAGGCAACTGCTCCTCAAAACTGAGCTGCAAGCAGCCATCACCACTTTGCTCTTGATTCTCCACCATGTTATTTCCACTATAACCACCACTATATTTCTTAAATTGCTAGTTTTTAATGAAGAATCAGTAAGTACATGAAGTTTTTATCACCCTTTCTGCAGCAACAAGGTTTTCAGAGCAGAAGCACAGAGGAATATATGCTATAGCTAAGCATTAGGGCTGAAATGCTTTCATCGTAGCAGACAAATCAAGCCACAAATCAGACCAGGTAATGCCAGGTACAAATCTAGCAAACTGCTGAAGCTTTCTTGGCATGCTTCCCATTTGTGCATTATTATAATTAACCCAATTTATGTCAGTAATTATCAGAAGGGCAGAGACTACGACTTATTGTTACGAGTCCTATTACTTCCCAAAACAAAGTGAAATAAATTTTATGGCTTTCCACAGTAGCATTACAGAGATCTCACAAAAAAAAAAAGCTCTCCTTAACACTCTTTTGAACTAAAGCCAAAAATGATTATGTAGTTTTATTATTCTACCTGGAAAGCAGCCACAGTTTGCTGGGTATCACTTGTGCAAGTCTCTCTCTCAGGAACAGAACAGCCTGACTAGATAGTGGATCAATACTGAAGTTGTAGGTTTGCAGCAGACAGAAGTGACAGTTCTGAAGTAGCAGTTTTATTAATTCTGCTAATGAAAACGTTGTGCCATCTAACAGAGAAAGAGAATTGCTGCTTGTTGAAAACCCCACGAGTACTCTTGTTTTACTTATTAGATTAGGATTAGCATCCTGTAAACACCATTTTAAAAGCAGGCTTCATTCCTATGCAACGTTCTCTCACTGAACCTCAGACCATCAGCTGGTGGGAATGTTTTTGCACTATTTCTACTGCAAATGTGAGTTCTAGTTGAGAGCAATGAAACGTGAGCAAAACTGAGATTTTTTTGTAAAACTTTCACCCGTTAAATTAAGCGAGACCACAAAAAATTAGGGAGAAACATGGAAAAGGTACCAAAGAGCTTAAAAGCAGATGCTTTTGCCATCAAAAAAGCATTTCCATAGCATTATCCCATTTCCAGTGTAAATCTCAGTCCCACACCTCTACAAATCATAGTGAAACAGCAGCTTTAACTCAACAGAAGCTTACTAAAAACCACAAAGCGTTCCCTCCCAAATGGAAACTCCAATATTTTAGTATTTAGAATCACTCTTAAGAGACACTTCCCATCATTTACGTATGCATTAAAACCCCAATGTCTTCACAAAGGTGCATGCAGTGAACTGTACCTCATTTTCACCACAGTCAGAAGGTGTGTCCTTGTGTATAGCCATCTGATACTTGGCAAATAAAGTGGCTGATTGGTTGAAGGATGATTTGAACTGGGGGTCCTCAAAGGAGACAGGTACTAACCTCACCTTCAGAGCAAGGGAAATACAAGCAGGCTATTTTGAGTGCATATAACCAGATAATATGCTTCTGAAGGTAAGGCTAGTGAAAGCTCTCCTCCTATTCACTTCAAAGCCTCTGAAGTCAGTCTTCTGATTTCAACATAGCAACAAGAAAATCCTCCTACAGAGGAAAGTCTGACAATGAACTCTAAGCTTTAAATGATCATTGATATCTTCATTAAAGATTAAACACTATATAACACTAGAACACTCCAAAACACCAGTTTAGTCAACCTGTTTTTTGACCAAGTTCTGTGACAAATCACCCACAAAAACTATTTTCATTTTACAGTCTTTTGGACTCTTAAAATGTATTAGTTTTAATGGCACTTCACTCATTGCTCCAGTTTAGCAATTACATCTTCTTGCTACATGTATCCTTTCTCCAACCTCCAGATTTTTTTTCTGACAATGTGATAATATTTCTGACATGTCTGATAATTAACTATTACACACTGCCTGGTCACTACAAGCAGCAGTAACAATGTGCAGTGTAGAGTGCACAGACTACTTCTTGAAGGACTTAAAGTGAAGTGGTTTATACAACTTCTGTCAACCTTAAACAGTTTGTATGTGTGATAAATTTTTACTCACATGTTGGCCCTGATCATGCTAATTTCTCCTTCTGGAAGCATTCTAATCAAAGCCAATGAGACTAGTTATCAGAGTAAGCATCCAACTGGTTTGGGTTCTAATGAGATATATTTTATAAGGCCCACAAAATTTACTTCCAAAAGCCTCATCTTCTCCATCTCTTACCCAACAGCATACCTATGTAACTTCCCTAACTTTTCTGTCTGCAATTAAGACCAATTTGTGGCACTCATTGTGATAGCAAAACAGTTTGCACTTTCAGGACATTGATTTTATTTGATACAGTATTTTGCATGCTCCTGAATACACAATAAATATAAAATCCACATTTGTTTCTTCTAGAAACAAGACACGTGAAATGGAGGGGAAGCTGAGCTTTGCATAAAATTCATTTGGCCTTCTGACCTGATTTATAGTTGGTTTATCAGGTGGGTCCTTGTGAATAACCATCTGGTAACGTTTATAGACCTGGTAAGACTCCTGAAATGTGGCTTTGAACTGTGAACTTGGTGGAGATGATCTCACCACCCTCACCTTCAGAAGAAGTTAAACACATTTATTATTACCATATCATGCAATAACTTTATATTTATACATAGACAAACATCACAACAGACAAATCTTGATTTCCTGCACAAGGGTCCTAAAGAATTCATTAATATTAGACAATTCTTCAGCTCAATTTAGGCTATTGAAGGCTTTTCTATTTACACTGAGTAATGTACAAATTAAGATAACCAAAATGCCTAGAGAAGAGATACACAACATTCAAAAACTAATACCAACAAATGGAACACAAATTAATGTTTTAAAGAGATTTTGTGTACTTTTTAAAAATCTTCTCTTGTAATTTCACACTGTACTGAAAAGTAACTTGAAGGACCCATACATCCTATCTCTGCTCTTTAGATAGACTGTTTTTACTACAATAATCTCCAGGGGATTTTTCAAATTTAAAGAGGAAGAGGAAACAATGTTTCCATATTCAATCATGAGTAATTCATTATAGGAAGTTATCCATCTTCCCCACCAACATCCTTACACACACAAAAATAACTTAAAAAAAAAAATCAAGCTGTAAATTAAAAATTGTTCTTAGTAAAAATGATTGCTTCCTAAGCAACAGAATGATACTACATGAGCAATAATGCATTTCTTATCAAGTGTATTTAAGGACAGGCTCATTTCAGAAAACATATAATTTTCAGTATGGTTCTATTTTCATAAATAGCATTGGTTTTGACCTATCAAAAAAAATTAAACAAAAAAAAAACACTTGACAGCTATAGTGAAAAAGCACAAAGACAATCTAGGAATACACTGCTGGAACCATCCTACTTTTAATTCTCTGTGCATCTTCTAAATGAAGATGTTCAGACATCTGAAGATGTTCAGAGCCATCAATCTGGTGGAGTTAGTGAGATGTATCAATTTTATGACTTCTTGTCACTTATTCAGGGTGAATCTTTTAAGTCATCATTATTACCTCTTTGAATAGTCAAAAGAATATTAAAAATTTACTTTCAAATACCATCACTGATAATCAGTAACTACAGGCAAATACTTAAGTCTTCCAGCTTCCAGAAAGAATTTTTAACATGGGGTTATGATTAACATATGTTAGAATGTTAATGGCAACCAGTATATTAAGCAAAATTTTCTACCATCACTTTTACAGCTTCCAAAGACATCAACACATATCAATGATGTTTATAAAGAGCAGCTATCTTCTCATCTGTTTAATTTTATGAACAGTTACTGCTTTCTTGTCAAGCTTCATTAGCATAGATAGTTTAAGTATTTATAAACTGCAGAACTAAATATTGAATCTCTCTCATCATTCAACACTTGGTTAATTCAAAGTCTTTCATTTTCAAGTCACACTGTATGAAATCAATTTGCAAGTTATTTTGGGAACTGTGCTGGTCTCTGCTAGGACTGACTGCAAGTGCAAGAGTTCCCTCGTGTGGTTACACGGAGCTCAGCTGCACCAGATATGTAGCTACATATCATGCAGTACCACATCTATTGCAGGATTCAAACTACAACCTTTCCTGAAAGTCACAGATACTGAACAACTAAGCACTTCAAAAAATCCTTAACTAGAGTTTTCCTCAATTTGCCTCCAACAACAGAAAACGAGACGTTACCTCTAATTTGTGTCGTGCATCATCAGGCAAGGACACAAACACGAAGTCTTCAATGGTTTTAGGCTGGTTTGGTTTAGATTTACAGTTTTGCAAGAGGGAAACTTGATCTGCTTGCTGCTGAGAGCCTTCAAGGGTGCACATCTGGTTCTGAAGGAGTTTCTGCAGCTTTCTTTCTCTCCTTATGTCCTTTGCCTTTCGACACGGTGGCTTGCTCAGATCAGCCCCTTTCCCTATGAGGGCACAGGCAAAGAATTAAACACCACATTTTGCAGGAGACAAGTAGTTCTTACATAACCCCTGAAAAGAAGTTATTAAACTCATCCTTAATTGCTGGCTGTGGTCTGAACATAACATGGGCCTCCACATTTACAACTGCCAACACCACCTGACACCAAGCTAAGTTGCAATGACTCTTCCTCTACAGCTCTTTAATGCAGCACTTCAGTGCAGAAACACCTTGACCACGAGTCCACCCCACAGCCAAGAACACACTTAAAGAAAGTTACTTCCTGCTAAGTCCATCCTTAAACGATTCTGCCACATTCCCCTCTCAGAAACAAAGACCAGCTCCTGTTTAATGCACAGTATGTTGTCATACTACATCCAAACAGCTACAGGATCTGCTTGAAACACTGAAAGGAAAAAAAACACAACCACAAAACCTTGTAGCCAAATTCACAGAGAATTTCTCTACTGCCTTTAAAACCCAGCTGGCTACACAACACACCCCTGCAGAAGACACACAAAAAAGACAGCATTTCTTTTTTGCCACCTGGAATCTTTATGCAGCATATAGAAATGCTGCCAATGCCAGGACCATTAGTGCCAATGCTACTAATGCCATGCAAAAGGAGAGTAAAGGTCCACTTAAACTTACACTGAAAGGAAAAAAAACACAACCACAAAACCTTGTAGCCAAATTCACAGAGAATTTCTCTACTGCCTTTAAAACCCAGCTGGCTACACAACAAACCCCTGCAGAAGACACACCAAAAAAATAGCATTTCTTTCTTGTCACCTGGAATCTTTATGCAGCACATAGAAATGCTGCCAACGCCAGGACCATTAGTGCCAATGCTACTAATGCCATGCAAAAGTCCACATAAACTTACAGCTTTGCTTAAAATTATATTCAGATTAGGTAAAAGTGAATTGATTTGTAATTTTACACATCTCCCTCAACAGATCAACCATTTATACTGCTCTATTTGTGACTGTTATTCACTTAGAAGTCAAACCTAGAAAACAAATGGATCAGCATGGAAGACAGAATGTGATGCTACAAGAACTTAAGTTTTAAAGCAACACAAACCCAAAGACATGCACAAATAATAGTTCAGGTGGTCCAAATGATTCAGCGAAGGGGCCAGATTTTTATACTTAGGACACCAATGTAAGATAAAAAGTCAAGATATGAGAATGCCAGTACCAGAAAAACACAGAATTTTTTTCAATTAATACAAATAAAAGAAAAAAAAAATTAAGAAGACAGCTGGTCCCCTTGGTACCCACTAGATGCAGTGAATTTCTACTTACAAGTAACAATTTCCCTAGACATTGTGAATATAATGGATACTGCTTTGTAAATCCATAAATCCAAATTTGTAAAACTTACAAAAAGCAAGAAACATTCTTCTAATGCTCTCAGTTCTGCCTAAACTTTGTACATCATTCTCTGCTATTCCATGTAGCACACACAAGGAACTGAACACCAGACCTCACTCCAGACACTGTGTAAGAGCTGCATGAATCTGCTGCACTGCTGGAAACAGGGGCTGGAGAAATTATATTGCACAGAACCAAAACTGTAACAAATATTAAGACAAACCACTAAAGAAGTCTTTAATGCCATTAGTTTTCTTCTAAACCCTTATATCTTGCAAAAAAATCACTGGCAATTTTTGAAAGATTAATCTTTTCAGTTGGGAAAACACCTTGAATAGTGAAGTGCTTTCATTTGAAGCATAAGGAAGAAGACATATTTCCAACTGTTAATATTTATAAGAAGTAAAAGGAATCCAAACCCAGACTTAACTACAGCTTATCCCATTTTACTCTCTTGAAGGCCTTGGAAATTACACAAATTGTTTTTTGCAGGACTCCTGGGAAAATTTAGAGCTTTCTTTCCTCATCCTCCTTCTTACTAATAACTTACCAGCCAAAACCATCTTTCTTGTCCTCTATCTACTTCAAACCTTCCCACAGAAAATGACAACAGTAGTATCCTCCTGCAAACTGGAAACTGTGAGAGCACTGGTATTCTAAAGTAATTCTAAATTCTAAATATTCTATTTAGTCACTTTACCTGCAAAGAACTGCAGCCCTAGGAGTCACTGCCTGCATCTTTCTTCACCAACAGATACCCCATAGAAACTGGCAAAATACTTCATTTTGGGATAAGCTTTTAAGTATCAGTAAAGCTGGAAAATATTCTTTTTATTGTGCATATCATACAAAATTTATGGAGTCTGTGAGTGCTTTCCTGGGGCAAGTGGGCAGTGAGCTCTTTGTGGCTCACCCAGAAGAGGTCCCAGTCTGTTTTTTCCATGTAGACTCCATGACAGTTGAAATGTCATGAAATGAGCACCTCAGGGACTTTGAGAAGGAGCTAATACCACTTGGGCACTCCTTAGACACCCTACAATTGCACCAGCAGATTTTATGATAGTGTTCTTACCTCTGAGCTAAGGATTTTGAGTGTTTGTTTTACTCATACAGCTAAAAAGATTCATCAGAAAGGACAAATATTAAGAGGAAATAACAGATATGTGACCTGCTCATAGGCAAACAAGTCACAGGAAGAGTTTATTTAAAATACTCATGATCCATTGAAGAACAAATAGTTCATCTGGATCAGGATCTGCTTCATGTCTCAGATCTTCTACATGCTTTAAGTTAGCAAGAAAGACTTCCTAAAACAATGAGTGTGCACAGACATAAGCAAACCTTCTTTTCCACCTGAAACTGTGCAGAAACAGCCCATTATTCCAATGGGACAATGACTTGTTTCGTTTATAAAGGAATAAAAATGCAATTAAGCAATCTTATTACAGAATAAGCCTGCACTTTCCAAGATGAAAACTAAACATCTTTCTATCTGGAAAATTTTAAACTGAATTTGACCTGTGACACCATCTACCCTTAAAAAAAAAAATAAAAAAAATTAAGAATTAAATAAGCTTTCTGATGCAGTTATTATTCACTTTTATCTTTCATTTAAAACTTCCAGGAAGAAAGAAGCACACTAATGCACATTTCTCCCCTGTAAAACTAACTGCCCATTTTCAGAGTACAACCAATGTTTCAGGTTTTAAGAGAATTTCCAGTGCCTCAAGTTTTAACCAATGCTGTTCTTAACATAACTGAAGATCATACCCCATCTTTTTTTTAAAAAGGCAGATTTGCAGCAATAATTTACCCAAGGCTGCCATCTGCTGTCAATATCCACTTAGTTTCCTTCCAAAAGGAAGTTTACATAACCCAAAGCTTGTCATGTTATTTTAAAAACACAAGGATTTTGAAAATTTGCATAACAAATAAAAGTTATATGAACTGTATGACTGCATTCTATAAAATCAAAATAAAATAGAGTCTTAAGAATTTGGGACTAGTTTTCCAGGAATGTGTAACAGTACTGCTTCTATGCAGCACTACAGGTTTTAGGATCAAGCATTTCTGAAAACATCCTTTTTTGGTTTTTTAGCTGCAAAATTGCTTGTTAAGCTGGTGAAAACCTGATCCAATCAGAATGAGTGTTCATTAGGGGAAAAAAGAACTTTATTTTAATTAGCCACCTCCTAAAAGGAGACAGAAAGCTTTGTGAAGGAAAAAGTACTTTGAGGTTCTCCAATACTGGCACAACATGTAATAGGCAAGTGAAATTAGGAATGATGTCCCAAAGATATGGAAAAACTCCAAAGTGTCCAGTCTCCACTGGGACTTTAACTAGAACCACACACCGTGGCTAACTGCAATTCCAAAAATACCCTTTATTTTTCTGGACAGGCCATTGCAGGCTATGCAGAACTGGAAACGTGACCTGTAAGACAAGGCTGCCTCCTCCTCTGCAGCCTCTGGGACACAAATCAGCAATTCTGCCTCATTTTCCAGTGCAGGCTGTTGGTCAAGTGAATTATTCTGGCAATAACTCATCCACCCAAAAAATTAATTATACCATTAAAACCAGTATTATACAAAAAAATTATTAAGATTATTATTATATTAAAAATGCCACCTATAATATTCCATGTACTTTCACACAAAACCTTGTTAATTAACAAGCATTTACCTTCATGTTTTGGCACATGAGAGCTGTGGCATTGTATAAATGCATCAGAAGTAGAACAAGGGAGATTGTCTTACTCCTTGTACATACTTACTGCTCCTCCTTACAGAAATGTAATATTAAGTTGACAACAAGACAATAAAGAGGAATTACTTCATGATTTCACATCCTCCAGTGGTACTGCTTTTCTCATCTAAAGTTAGCCAAAATCTAAAACAAGGAAAGCTCCCAAACAGCTCACATGTTAAAAAATGACATTTTCTAAGGACCAGAAGAACCTGTACTTTTTTAAAACAGCAGAAGTCTATTCCATTTTCTTTAAGCCTATAAAATAACAGAAAAATAATCTGAATCCATTTCCAATGCCAGTTAGATCTGTGGCAAACAGTCTATGAAAGCATAAGAAATAGAGCCTTAAACACATTATTCACAGGGTGTAAACACCAAAACTTCTATTACAAGACAACCTGCAGAAGTAAAGAAATAGAAAAATAATACCTAGGGTGATTTCTTGGTTCTTAAATTGGTTTCCCACTGTTGCACAGGAGGCAAGGTTAAGCCTTAACCCAACTCAGTAACCAGCACTGCTGCAGCTCCAGCCAGAGCTCCAGCCAGCTCTTCACCTTGCACATCCAATGAGTCCAACTCAGGGAGGTGACCCAAATAAGCCTGAAAGGTGCCCTTCAACTTGAGATATTCTGTGATCCATACCTCAAGGTACACAAAGCCCAGGTCTACATGTCCTACAGAAGAAAAGGAAAGCTGGACATACATCTGCATAAAAAAGTATCCCAAACTGGAAACTGGTCCCCATGTCTGATGGGATGCAGTCACCTTGGTCTACTTGGCTGCAATCTAAAGAGCTTACAGGAACCTATCAGCTGTAGATATGTAGTCTCAAAAACAAAACTTTAAGATAATGAAAATTAATGCCACTTTCAGGAAGAACTAAGAAAACAAGTAACACACAGCACCTCTCCATTTTTACACTATAAATTGGGAAGAGAATAGGGAATAAAAAGAAACAACTACAAAACACTAGGCAAGATAAAAAGAAGGACTTCAACAACATGTGACACCACGAGAGCATACTCCAATTACTGCCAAAAATGTGACTACCTGGCTTAGGTGGTGCATGGACAGCTTTAGCTGAATGTGATGGTTCTCCAGGGTCTGGCACATCTTTATCTGAACACAGCCGAGTGGAACTTGATCCTGCCTTCTGCACAGTCACCTCTTCTTTTGTTTCTCCTGCATCCTCATCTTCATTCTCCACTTTCTCCACGGGATCCACGTTCAAGGGAGTCAGTTCAGACAGACTGGCATGAGATTCACTCTTGTACCCAAAATCACCTGCCACCACGTCGTCGACATGGGAGTCCATAGGCTCCTCTGTGAATAACCAACAGCTGCATGACTCAGTTCCTCTGCAGAACCACAGCTGATGCTTTGCACAGTTAATACTAACTCTTTTCCAATTTTATAACTGTTTTCTCAAAAGATAAAGTGACTTCTGACAATAATCTGAAGACAGAGAGCTTCCTCTATGACCCCAATTTACAAGCACCAACTCATTTATGGAACATACAATTTTTTATTTTCTACACTAAAATTGGGCAGTGAACTACTCTCATGCCACAACTTCAAACAAACAACAAAAAAGACTGAAAAAATCTCACACTCAAAAGAGGCAAATTATAATGATTTGGAACCAACACAACAAGCTCCACCAAAACTGAGAACAGCTGAGTTTGGTGTTGGGTAAGTGGAGTGTGACTGGTCAGTCACATGGAAAAAAAAAAACCTTCCTTTCTGTGCTTGCTCTCCCTTCCCTCTGACACCCACCATCCTGCTTAGTCCTTTCCAGATTACCACTTTTATGGCAGAAGTAAAACCAGGTTTTAATTCTCTAGAGCACTCCGTTAGAAAGTGAGCAGGTGCCCACAGATGAAAAAAAAAATTAAGCTGGTCCATGCAAAAAATAAGCAAAGAGCTGCACAATTTGGTGTCTGGGCTATCTAGTGCTCTTGATACAAAACACACTGCAAAGGCACAACCTCTGAAGAAAGGCTGAGGGAGTTGGGGTTGTTCAGCCTGGAGAAGAGGAAGTCCAGGGAGATCTTATTGTGGCCTTTCAGTACTTAAAGAGGGCCTACAAGAAAGATGGGGACAAACTTTTCAGCAAAAGGAGAGGGGGTGAGGGTTTTAAACTGAAAGAGGGGAGATTTAGACTAGATAGGAGGAGGAAATTTTTACACTGAGGGTGGTGAGACATTAGCCCAGGTTGCTCAGAGAGGTGGTCGCTGCCCCATCCCTGGAACCATCCCAGGTGAGGTTGGCCGGGGCTCTGAGCAACCTGCTCTAGTTGGGGATGTCCCTGCTCCCTGCAGGGAGGTTGAACTGGATGGCCTTGAAAAGGTCCTCCCAATCCAAACCATTTTCTGATTCCTTGAGCCTACCCACACCTTTATCTAGGGGTCTATATCCAAAATTCAAAGTGTATTAGCCATCCAACCACTCAAGCAGACAGTTGATCCTCCTTTCTTACCTTCACTCACTACTTTCGAAACCTCTCCTTTGGAAATAAACTTCAACATTTTCTTTAGAACTTTCTTGTGCGATTTGGAGGCCTGAAAATGCAAAGCTTGGCACCTTAAAAGGGAAAAAAAAAAACTTTATCTCTTCTGTGAAAGATTATTTCAGAAAACAAAAAGGTTAAAAAACGACTTTAAAAATTACACTGTATGTGTATTTTCTAACTATTTCTTAAATTCCTCTATATTTAGTAGTCAGATATTTTATCAACGCTTTTGAGTTAATAAAACTGTGTTCTGCATAACACTCTTTATGGCATGTTTTGTGCATGTATGTCTGTAATCATTAAAATATGACCTCAAGAACAACATTAAAAATAAACCACACCTTCCTAGGAAGCTAATACACTCAAATTTTTCACTTATCCATCTTACCCAGCATCAATACTAACTATTAATGCTGGAAAAGCGTACCCAGAATTATTCACACCTATTCAACTGACAGCCTCTCTTATTTGGGTGACCAAACAGTGTTTGTGGGATACAAACATACTGGGTCACCTGCACCAGGGAGCAAGAAGAGCAACCATAGGACTCTTGCTTTGGATTCTTCTTGAAGCACAAGCCAAGGGTAGGCACTTAGCAGCTCACTCACAAGAAAACATTACAGAGTTTCTGATGTGTCTATGCACAAACCCAAGAGCATGTATTTAGCATGAAAAGTATCATTAAAAGTAGACAGTCTTTGTAAGTATTACATATTTAAAGCAGTAAGCACAAATGGCTGAACATATTTGAGGCAGTCAAATCACTTACAGTAGCATATTCTAAGCTTCTTACCTTATTGTGTATTGAGGACAACATGTTTGGTTCATGATAGGTTTGTAGACGTATTTTCCACTTCTAAAAATAACAAAAAATATGTATCAATTCTTTATTGTTATACTAGAAAATAAATAGAAAACTGTTTCTGTTAAAACAGTACCAAATAGTACACAATGGTAGCAAAACTTGAGAAGTTCTTGCAGCTTTTTGCTGGTATAGTAAAACTATCCTCAAGTAATCAAGTATTTTCCTATTCAACATGATCACATCACAAGTTTTCAGAGCATTTGGCTAATAGTTCTATTTCAATTATTTACAGAAACTAGTTAACAGTTTTCACAGAGAACTTTAAACCTCGATTCTAAATTGTGTCTAAACTGACACCAGGGCTTTGTATTTTCTTTTTCACTTTACCTTCGCCATCCTCTGTCTATGAGATCTTGGTAATCCTGAACTGTCATTGAGTGTGCCCACATACCTGAAATAAATCATACAGTAACACACTTGACTGACCACTATTAGGCTTTAAAACACAACAGGTTGCACAGAAATATTACTGTCAAACTGAGTAGCTTGTGGTGACTTTCAAGGATTTGGCACATTCATAAATGCTGTAAATTACTGATTTCAACACCCATGTTACATACAAAATAAAAAATAAATCAATCTCAGGATGCAATCAACTATATTGCCCTAACTGTACAAGTTAAAAGTCCAGCTCTCCACCTGCTATCTTTCCCAGAGGCAGACCAACAAAACAACATCAAATTGCTCCTTCATTTTGATAAAGCCACCGGGAAACGCTGGGCTAGAAGACTTCTGAGAGTTGCCGGAGCTGACAGGGACCGTTCCCAAGGACCGCTCGGGGAGCGAGCGCCCAGGTGGCCGCCGAAGCGTCAGCTCTCTGCCACGGCAAAGGCGACAGGGGCTGGGCTGGAGGACACTCGTCTCGCCACCGCTTTAGACGGGTGCGCTCTGATCCGCGGATTAACCCGGGCCGGAGCCGGGGCTGGGGGGTCAGGC